CAGCGAGCGGAGCGCAGCCCGGACGGTGCCGCCCGGCGCGGAGCGAAGGGAGCGCGGCGCCATGCGGGGCTCGAGGCTGGGGCTGGGGCTGGGGCTGCTGCTGGGCGCGGCGTGGGTGGCGTGCGGGCAGAACGAGACGGAGCCCATCGTGCTGGAGGGCAAGTGCCTCGTGGTGTGCGACTCCAACCCCACCTCCGACCCCACCGGCACGGCGCTCGGCATCTCCGTGCGCTCCGGCAGCGCCAAGGTCGCTTTCTCCGCCATCCGTAGTACCAACCACGAGCCCTCCGAGATGAGCAACCGCACCATGATCATCTACTTCGACCAGGTGGGGCGGGCGCGGCGGGGCTCGGGCGCTCCGGGGCGGCGGGGCTCGGGGCGCGCCGCCGCGGGAGAAGTTGCCGGGGCCGGTGGCGGGGCCGGGCCGGCGACGCGCCGCCCCGCGGGGCCCTGCCCGCGGGAGGGGGGCGCTGGGAGCCGGGGACAGCGGGGCTGGGCGGCAGCGGCCCCGCGTTGGTGCTGACGGTGCCCTTCCCTTACAGGTACTAGTGAATATCGGCAGCAACTTCGACTCGGAGCGGAGCACTTTCATCGCGCCTAGGAAAGGGATTTACAGTTTCAATTTTCACGTGGTGAAAGTGTACAACAGGCAAACCATCCAGGTCAGCCCCGAGCGCCGTCGCCGGGCTCCGCGGGCACCGCGGGAGGGAGTGGACGGGTCGGCGGCCCGGCGGGGACGGGGCCGTGCGGACTGCGGGGCGGGACGTGTCCCTGAGCCGCCGCGGGAGCCCAGACCTGCGGCGAGTCTCCGCTCGAGGGGACCGTGCCCAAGGGACCACGGAGTCCCACCAGGCCTCCGCTCGGCCCCTCTTTGCATGTGCCGTCCCGGGATGGGAGGTGGTCGGCCGCCTGCCGCCCCCTCCCAGCTTGTCCGGGTCCTCGGTCTGCCCAGTGCCGCGGAACACTGGCGGGAGCATCCCTGCACAGAGCCCATAGGAACGGCGATCCATGGCAGGCTTCTCACCCACTGTCCTGTGGCAGAAGGTTTCATAGGGACTTGGGGTTCAGGGAGGTACCTACAGAGTGGAAATGATAATGAATTTGTGCATGTCTATGCAGCTACTCTGTGCATACATGCCTTTTCTATGCATATGCTGCTCTAGGTAGGGTTAATAAATTACCGGCCTGAAGCCAGGTAGTATAATCAAGACAAGAAATCTGACTGTATAATGATGCACTTTGCAAAGGTGTATGGACAGCTGTATAGCACCATTCTGGTGCAAGTGGCTTAACACCTTTAGCTTGGACAGGTAGTGCATTATTAATGTGGGGCGTGCAGTCCCAGGATCATTAATGCGAGCTTAGCAGACCTTATTGACTGTGTTGTGGCATATTGTCTTTGCTGCCTAACAAAGGAAAACTACCCCTTGAAAACACTTCAAAGGCCCTGACTCTGGCGGCTGTGGCTCTGCTCCTTGCTGTCTCTGAGGTTGCACATAAAGCCATCTTTCAATAAGTACAAGCAGACCTCTTTTCATAGCCTGAAAACACAGGCACCCTATTGAAAGTCTCCAAAATAGGATCAATGTCCTGCTTTATATGCACCGGGTGTTTTGATGTGGTTGTCAGTCTAAAACAGTGGTGAAAGACTTCTTCCTTTGGAGTACATACCTTAGCTGGGTTTAGACTGGTATTTCTTTTTCATGGGGCTGGAGTTTCAGCTGTCAAAAGAGGCCTTTCCTTAACTAAGCATTTTGCCTGTTAGGCGAGCCCCAGCGGTGTCATTGTCTGACTTTAATTGACAGAGGGCTTTGTTTTATCTTGCTCTTTAGGTGAGTTTGATGCTAAACGGGTGGCCAGTGATTTCTGCCTTTGCAGGGGACCAAGATGTGACCCGAGAAGCTGCTAGCAATGGAGTACTGATTCAGATGGAGAAAGGAGACAGAGCTTATCTAAAACTGGAGAGAGGAAACTTGATGGGAGGCTGGAAGTATTCAACATTCTCTGGATTTCTAGTGTTCCCGCTTTAAAGCACTTCTCATCCAAGAAAAGGGAGAAATCTCTTACAAATTCCCAAGTCAAAGCTGGGTTTGAAGAGTCATGGACAGCAGACTTTTTACATTCAAATATTAAAGAAGCTTAATCCTGCTTAGGTTTGTGTACATCTGCTTTGAAGAATTACTACTTATTTTTGTTGTGTTGCAGCCAACAGGCGGGAGACACTATAATTGATCAAACCCCCATTTATATTCTTCTCTCTCCTCCCACAAAATTAGTTCCCATCTCTGTGTCATTGGTGTAACCTGCCATTGTTCCCCCATGGCTTCTGCCTCACACAAGTAGACTTTAGATATTTTCATTGTTCTTTACAGCATATTTTATAGTTTTGTTTTTAAAACATGTTAATCTTGACTCTTTCTCTGAGTTTAACTTTTAAAAAAAGAAAAAAGCAAAGTATTTTTTGAATACATGGATGCCATGATGGAAGGGAAAATGCAATTCTTGCTGTGTACTGGCTGGCAAAAGGAAAAATTTCTACATGAAGAACTATCCACAGCCAAGGCTGACTAGAGTATTTCAATATTTCTATGTAATTCTGAGTGATTGTGAAATTTAAGGCTGCTAAATGTTTTGATGCTTGTTTTGCTCTTGTACAACGTGGCCCAACTAAACGCCAGGAAGTATATTGAACTTTTACTATTACTCTGTAATATATGTGTGAATATTGAAAATTAATTTTTGCTTTAATTCAATAAAGTTTAAATGGGACTTTTATTTTTCTTAACCAGAAATAAGGTTTCTCAATGCAGGTAGGCCGGGGGAGGAGGCTCGGCGGGGCCGGCTCGGGGGGTGCGGCCCTCCGGCCCCGCAGCTCCCCCGCACGGGTCCCGCAAGCCCTGCGGGCGGTGCCGGCAGCCCGAGCAGACCTGTCGATAGGAGGAAGTTTCACGCCGTCTCTGATACCCACTTATTTATAGCATTTATCTGTATTATATTCTCTGAACCAGATCGCATTTTATACGGCTGCCTAAAACCACCTGACCATGTGCACTCGAGGCTGGTACTATTGATTCGCTGGTATTATTTGTTTACCGTCTTTTGAAGATATAAATGCTATAATTTTGCAGTACTCAAAGAGATTACTACTTTTATTAAAAGGTGCGTACCGAGGATTTCGATTGTATCTAAACTTTAATGTGAAATAAATCGGTGAAACGACCCCCGGGCTGTGTGCGTGGCGCGGCGGCGGCTGGCGCGGGGCTGCCCCGGCTGCGGCACCAGCGGAGCCGCTCGAATCCCCGGCTCCCGGGAAGGCATTTAATTAGCTCCAAGAAGGGGGGGATTAATACGAGCAGAATAAGCAACGCTTCTCGCTTTATTCACAGGTTCTGCCCTGGAAACAGACCGGCGGGGCGGGCGGGGACGCGCTCCGCGAGGGGCGGCGGTGGGGAGCGGGGTCAGCCGGAGCCGGGAATGGCCGCGGCCCTTGGACGCCAAGTGGAATACACCAGCCTGCTGCCAGCTCCTACTCGTCTGTCACCCTGCAGCGCAGGGGCCAAAACGCCTTCTGGGCCCGCGGTTGCCGCCTGGCCCAGGTCGTGCTTCGCGCTCCGCAGGAGCGGGGGAGGCGCGGGCCGGCCCTCCTCAGCCCTGCCCGCATCTCGCCTGGAGCCTCGGCACCCGCGGCCGCTGGCCAGGAGCCGTGCGAGGGGACAACGGAGACCTAAGGAGAAGGAATAATCACGGAAAGCAGCCGGACTGCGTTCACCTGGAGTTACAAACTGCTCAAGATAACCAACACGTCGCATTCTCCGGCCGCAGGCTCCTCTCTCAACGCGAGACTCTTTATTGCACTCTCCTGAAGCCTCTCACACCGCGCCGTCTCCCGCCCGGTTACCAGCCCCGTGCCCCCTTCTCACCCTCCTCTCCAGAATGGCTTGACCAAGGCGAGAGGAGCCGCCCTTGCCTCCCGTGACTGCGGAGAGTGGGCAGTGGGGGAAAACAAAAAAGGCAGGGGGAAGGAAAAAAATTACTAGGTTGCAAGAGAAAGGAAGGCTGCCCTGTGATCTCCCCGCCTCAACGCGCCGAAGCCAGGCAGCAGCTCCTGCCTGGGCCCGCCGCGGGGGATCCCAGCGATCTCCGCAGGTGCGGGGGCTGATGATGCTGATGCTTGTCTTTTGTTTTTTCCTTTTCCCTCCTCTCCCTTAACGCGAAACAAATAAACCCGCCACCTTCCGCTGAAAGTTTTCCCCTGGTTCTGAGCGTCTCATTAATATTGTGCAGCTGGATATTACATTACTCCGATCACAGCAAATCGCTGCTCTGCGGCTGTTATAAAACGCCACCGTGGCTGCTTGAAACAGCCTCGTCTGCTCCGCGCCCGCACAGCGAGGCCTCCGCCCCGCTCAGCGATGCTCCCCTCAGCGAGCCCCGCACCTCGGGGCCGCCCGGAGCCCCGGGGTGGGGCGGGAGGTACGGCGTCCTGGCTGAGGAGGTAAAGCCGCCGCCGCCGCCCCGAAACCCCCGTGGCGCCGGGCCGGGGAGCCCTTGCCCGTGTCCTGGGCGGGGGCCCCGGCCCAGGAGCCCGCCCCGGCTCCCTGGAGGGCGGGAGGGTCCCGCTGCCTCCCCCACCCCGCCCCGGCTCGGCCCGGAGCTCCCACGGCCGCGGTGTTCGGAGGCGCGGGCGGTGCGTCCGAGCGGCGGCCGGGCTGCTGCCCGATGATTTACTCCAGCAGACGCGTTGTGTTTAAAACAGCCCCTTTCTGCCATCCCTGCGCCCCCGGCGGACAGGGAGAGGAAGGCCGCAAAGGTGTCCCCGACCAGGCAGGAGGCGCGGGGGCGGCCGAGGGAAGCCGTCCTTGCCGAGCCCCCGGGGCCGGCGCCGCCCGGCGGGACAAACTGGGCGCTGGGCTTCCCCCGGCCAGCCGGTCGCACTCGTGCTGGCAGCCATCGCCGTCTCTACGCGTGGCCGGTGCTTTGGCTCCGTGTTTCGTGGGGAAATGTTAAATGAGCACCTGGTTGCACCTGCTTGGAGCCCGTTCTCATCCTGGAAACCGCCTGCACCTGAGCGGGTGAGGCAAGGCCACTTTCCTGCCTGGGCAACGCCGGGCGCTGCAAGCCGGTCCTGGGAGAAGAACGGGCTCCGAGGGGGTGACCAAGCCGAAGGAACTGGACACAGGTGTCATTTTAAGCGGAGGAGCCGGACAAGCTGGGGGGTCTGGCTACAGGCACCCCTGTCCGGGCTGCGCGGAGCCGGAGACAGAAAAGGGCCTGGCTTTGTCCGCGGCCCGGCCACGGCCGGTAAGCAGCGGGCGGCAGTCACGAACGCCCCACCACCGAGGGGTCCCTCGCAGGGAGGCCGTGTCCCCTCAGGGCTCCTGCGGCCTCGTCCCCGGTCCCCGAGGCCGTGGCACTGCTGGGCTGCCCCGGGCTCGGGGCCGCGCTGCCCCCAGAAATGAGCAGCCGCTGCTCTGTACCCTGCTTTAATGTGTTTTCGGTTGATGTATGTAACGTCTGATTGAATTTATTGCTGATTAGCGTTGAGTATGCCTTTACACAACAAGAAATTATGTTTCATTCAGTTCATTAGCATGTCTAGTGTTTGCTTTATGAGCATATCGCTAATGGTAATGACCAATGTTGATTGATTTCTAATGTGAATATAATTACACAATGTAGGGGAATTAAAGGGAAAATCCACATTTTTAATTGTTGGGTTTTTAGGGATGGCGTGTGGGGGCGAAGGGGGTGCACAGGGAGAAACAAACCGACTCTCTTCTGCGCCGACGATGAGAAAGTACAGATTAATGACTCCAGCAGGAGATGGGGAGTTTCGTCCAACACAAGAACAAGTCAAATGCAGTTAACTCAGGGAATACTTAATGCACACTCGACATTGCAAAACATAATTTCCCCTCGTCTGCCCCCCAGGTACATCTGGAAGCCCAATAAGTTCGTTTGGAAGCGGCCGTTCCCGAGGAGCCAGCAGAGGCAGGGCTTCGTGCATGGCCGGGCAGCGGCTCCCCGCAGCCCCGCCGGCGGCTGCGCGGCTCCGAGGCAGCGCCGCTGCCGAGCGCGGAGAGCTGCGCCCTGCCCGGGGCCAGCGGGGGCGGCTCGCCCAGCTCTGCCAGCGGCAGTCCGCCCCCGGCAGCCAGAGCCTTGCCCGCATCCTTCCTGCGAGCTGAGAGGGACATCGGCGAGAGCTGGAGAGCCCCGGCTGGAGCCGTGCGGAGGGAGGGCTGCAACAGGTACGGGGAGCGGAGCGGGCGGGCCACGGCGGGGTTAGAGGCAGGGAGGGACCGTGAGGGTACTGTGAGGAAGCTGGAAGCAGCTCGTGTACTCCATCTGGTGCCTGTGCTTCTGAGGGTGACCCCTGAGAGTGTCCTTTCCACTAAAAAGGAAAGGTGGTCCAGGTGGGGAGAGATCGGGGTTTGTTGGAGGCATCTCCAGTGGGATGTGGAGAGGGAGAGCAGGAAGGCTCAGGTTCTGAGGGAAAACCTCTGTAGTGCAGAAATCCTGGGTGGGACACACGCACACACTTGTGGAACTGTTTAATTTCACACTCAGACAGGGTCAGTGGGTGAAGCGTGGTGTGTATTCTGCCCTGTAAGAGTTGGCAAAAGGCCTCTGTTGTTGGTTGCCCAAAAAGAAAAGAGGCCTTGTGGTTTTTTGGAGAGTGAAACAAGCTGTGTGCCTTGCATGGGAGGAGAGGTCTTGGGCAAGGCTGTCCCGAGACAGTCAGTCCCTGTGCCTTGGGGTACTTGCTGAAAATCCAGTGTGGGCTGGAGGCAGCGATGCCTGCACTGGGTGTGCTTCCCCTTCCACTAGTACCTCCTTCCTTCCTGCTGTATTCCAAGGATACAGGGCAGTGAGGCTCCTCTGCTCTGGTGGTCAAAGGCAAAAGCAGTGGTGATCCCAGTGTGAGCAGCTGTGCACATCTGGGTGCAGAGCATTCTTGCTTTCCCCTGTGACAACTTTGAGCCTTTTGTTGGACAAGAGAGGAAGATAACGCCATTACCTTTGTGCAGCTTTCTACAGCTGGGGAGATGTGGTGGCCCATTTCACCAGTAGCACTTAGGTTCTTACAGTATGGGATTCCTAAAGCAAAACAGTTGTTCTGAACTCAGGATGCATCTGGATTCTAAAAAAACTGGTTTATAAAATTTTTCTTGGGGTTGGAATTGTAGAGCTATTGGAGAATGCATCTAACATTGCATCAGCATGTAGATTTGAAGGATACACCCAAGGGTCTCCTGCCTCTTGTGCCTACATCACTAACAAAGACGATTTCAGACTTAGTCATGAGTCCTCATGCAGCATGTTGCTTGTGGCACTCTTGGTGTTGGTGACCTCCTAATTGACTGAAATTCTGTTAAGCTATCAGAAGAAAGAAGACTCAAGAAAGAGATGTTGGGAGAGTTTGAGCAAAATGAAGACAAAAGATGTGAATAATTGTCATTCACATTAGTAATTCATGTTGCATACAGTATGTTCGAAGAAGTATCAGGGCTTCAGCTGCAATTATATTTCCATGGTTTGTTTTTCTTTTGCCTACACAACACTCATTCAAGGACTAAAGGTTCACGGGAGGACTCCTGCTTTGTTCCCAGTTAATAGTCATCCAGCTTGTAGTGGAAATTCTCACTGCATTGTTGGGCTTCATGCTAATAAATTTTAATGTGCTTTCAATATTTTGGCTTCAGGGTCATCCAAGTCAGGGCCATCCTCCTTGAGCTGCTTCTATACTGACAGTGTTTTCCAATTTTTCCAGTAGTAACAACCCCTTTAAAAGCATAAATATTTTAGTGGAAATTAACGTAGTCCTGAACCTTTTCTGTTGATAAAATGCCTATGCCATTAATTGCATGACAGCTGGTTTTGGTGTTGCTGTCACCAAAGCAGGTCAATATTTCTTTCTGTTATGAAATAAAAATGCTGAGACTTAAAAAATAGAGTTATGAACATGTCATGTTGCTCACTCTACAATTCTTTCCATCAAAATTTCTTGTATAACTCTTCAGGATCTTGGTCAAACTGCCTGGTATGTTGACTTGATAAATACCATTTCCACTGAAAGAATGGAGAAGTATTTTGTTCTTTGCCATGCATGTGGTACTGTTCCTGATTTTGTAATTGTTAAAATCTGGTCCCTGGGACTTGAGATTTCATGGGTTAGTTATCCTTCCTACTTTGATTCTCCCCAAATTTTTCAGTATACATTGAATTTTGCTTTAAAATTATTAATTGGCATGGATTCATAAGTCCCTTTTGCATGTTTTTATAAATTCTTTACTTGGTTTTGTGTTTCCTGGCTGACAATAGAGCTGAATTTCCCTACAATTCTGTCAGTTGAGGTGGGGGAAAAGAGAAGCTTCTGATGTCTCTCTTTTTAATCTGGCTTTATTGTTCCTTTGCTGTCTTCTGAGTGATTAATCTCACTATTTTAGTCTTCGAAGAGCCTTTCCAAAGGCTCAATTGTTCACACAACCCAGAGGATTGCAGCCTCTAGGTTTGAAACACCTCCTTTGAAATGGCAGGACCAGCTCTATCCAGAAGTGAGATGAGGCTCAGCAGTTATTATATCCACAGCAGAGATTCTAATTCCTATAGCTGTGCACTTTGTCATATGGCCAACCTCTTGCAGTGCTGCATTGAGCAGAGACCTTCACTGGGTTTCCTGCAATATTCCCAGGCCCCTCTTGTGTCTTGATTAAGCTAATTGAGAGTTCTGCTGGGAATTAACCACCATTAATATACATAAACCTACCAGCTTTGCATTTAGCCTATCACGTACATGAACAATTGCACAGCTCTGACCAAACTTGGAATTAATTTTTTTTTCCTCTACAAAACTAAGACATCACTGTCTTGAAGCATGGGTTTAACACATAGCATTTTGACAGGTGAAAGTAAATATTTATTTTCCTAATATACATAGTGGAAGGTCTTTATTGACAAGAAAGGACTTTGAAACAAATACATTGAGAGAAAAATCCGCTTTCCTTTATAGCAGGAAGAGGAGGATCATTCTTTTTTTAAAGCAGAGAGGCCAGGGCTCAGTTTTGAAGATATGGTTTAAATTCCAGTGGGTCATTAAATGAGTTTTTTCTGCTGACATAAATTTGCATAGCTGTGTTGCAGTGCAAATTCTTGCTACTCATTCTGACTCTGGGAAATTATGGCAGAACTCGGGAAACTGCTGTCACAGAAATACAAATCCCACAGAAATTCCAATCCTATTTCTTGAATTGTTGCAAGCAATAGATACACTTGCATGAGACAAGGATTATCCAGATCACCAGAACTTTTGAAGAAATACATTCATATTTCTTTTTCTCAGATTTCATTTTAATTTTTTCATGGAGTCTTACATACACAACTGGGTTCTTTTGGCTGTGTTTTCAAGATCATGTAAGAATTCTGGATAACTGTCGAGATATTCAGTAGTTTCAGTGGTAAACACATGGTAGAATGATGCTATTGTCCAATAAAATGTTGTCCAAAGATGCCTAGCGTAGGTTGGTTGGTTTGTTTGGTTGTTTTGTTTTTTTTTTTAAATAACTGGAATGTCACAGAATGGTCCCATGATAACTGGTGATTGTCATATAAATTTCTATTAGTGTAGGGCTTTAAGTGCATAACCTGTTTTAGTCCCATGACAAATTTTCCTCTTTAAAATATTTATATATTTTGAAGGCAAAAAAAAAATCCATTAAAAAGCATTGAAACTTAATATATCAAGTAAAGTATTTGTTTAAATAGTAGTAGTTCTCTTGAAACTGTCAATGGTTTTAGGAAGGAGCTGTCTCTCCTCTGTTTACTCGCAGTCTTTCAGATGGTACTGAAGATTTGAATACTTGTCCTGTGTGGGAAAGGAAATAGCTGCACTGTTCTGGAGTTGTTTTAAGACAAAATGAGTGAAGTGTTCACAAAAAACGTGGAGAACACAATATCAAGGACAGACATATTTTTTTGTTTCTTATTGTTTTGTGTCTTTGTGGCTGAGATGGTCACAGTGTAAGGTAGTGTTGGCTCCTGAGACCAAACTGAGGCTGCAGTTCTCTAGTCCAGCTAGTCAGTGCCCACAGGTTTGATCATGACTGCTTTATGCCCAGAACATGGAAATGCAGCCAAATCTCTTTGGTTATGCTTCAGCAGCTGGGAAGATGAGTCCTGTATAATCAGAAATCAACTGCAGAATGGTAATTTTAGTTTAATGTTTTTAATGTGCATTTACTGTATTGTGCTTTCAGCAAAGCTGAAGATGTTGCGAATACAACATTGGGGTATGGTTTACAAATTGGTATAATTAGGAGCTGGTCTGATCAGTGCTATCAATGTCAGCACATTCCAAAGAAGGCAGGGCTGTTGATTCAGGCTGGGTTCATGTATATTCTCTCAATTTGAAACTGTGTGAATATATTTTATATTTTCTGAATGTATCTGTCACATCCTACCTTAATGGTGACAGCATATCACATCACACTGTGTCTCTGTCTTACTGTATCTACGGTGCTGTCTAATGAATGCTTCTGCACAAAGGCTGTTGTACACTGGGCAGCTGAGTGAGCTCCTGTCTGACTCAGATGCTTTTTGCTCAGCCCTTTACCTCTGCAGTTTATGGCAGTTTCCCTCCTGTTACACCGTGGCCAGGTTGTGCTAACCCTGTGTCTGTTCTCAGGGCAGAGGAGGATGCTGAGACGCTCCTTTCTACAGCTGTACAGCACAGAAACATTTCTGCAAGCTTGAAGCAAAGGGACTGTTACATGGGAGGAAGCACTGAGCACTTCTGGGCAAGCAAGGTAAGCCCTGGCCACAGGCTTTTGCCACAGCAGTTTATGTCCACAACATCAGTAATGTGCAACAGTCCTTTATATCTTGAGATATTTTTTGTATATTCCTTGTGTTGCAGTTGCTCATTTTCTGAATTTCCTCAATGAGTTGGGCAGCTTTTCAGTTTTAACTGGTTTAGTAATCTTTCTTAAAAGGCCCAATACTTCAGCATTGCCAATCAGGAGAAGAGCCTCTTGGCTGTGCTAACTGAGTTTGTGCCTGCCTGTGTGTATTGACTTCCTGTCATCTCTGAGATTAACTTAAAATAATTCTTGCCGTTAGTAGCCCTTTCCAGTTTTCTCCACTACCTTTGTAGGTTGCTCGTGCTGTGCTTTTTCTTTTCTAACTTAATTTTTTTTCTTGTTTAGAAGAACCCTGTTGATATGCAGTATTAGGATCTCTGCTGGAAACCAGTAATATGTTCATTCTGGCTGAAATATTGGCTCCCCACATCTCTGACTGGCTCCTCAGGAAAGGATGGAGATAGATAAGATACTGATATCTCTAGTTACTCTGTTGAGGACCCCACCATTTTGCAAAACACTGAAGTTGAAAGTTTTGAAAGTGTGAAGTTGAAAGCAACAAGGTGCTTCCTGATTTTTAACTTAAAGCACTTAAGCATAAGCTTGTCAGCTCTGTATGCCTTCAGCTAGATAATAGAAGTACAAGAGTTGTTTTATATTTAAGCCAGCAGATAAAAGCGGCCTCTTGAAAAGTGGAGCATTCCTTTAGAAGAAATTACAAGCAACAGTCAGCAGCTTTTAAGGTGGATGGCAAAACTATCTTCATGAAGACAGATGTGGAGGCTTGTTCTGTGTTTACATAGAAGCCCAAGTGAGTGAGTTTTTCTTTGGCTAATAAGTTGCTTCAGTAAATATTGTTGAACCTGACTGGCATACTGCTATGTTGTGAAGTGCAGCAGCAAAAATCATGGAAAGAGTTGCTCTATGTTGTAAAGTTATACAATAACTGAGGTTTGGTTTCTGTGTCTGTTTTGCCAAGGAGGTGAATTGTACCAGTATCTTTGGCTGGTGTGGTTTGCTTTATTATCCATACTGGATGGGACAATGACTCTTCCCTCTCCCAGTTATGCATGGCAAAAAAGCCCAGGAGAATTATCCAATTGGTAGCTCATTAAATAAATATCTATCTAGGCTCATGACTGAGCATGAAGTTTCTCGTGGTACAGAGTTAAATGTTACAAGGGAATAAAATTCTTCTCACTAAATGATAGAGAAAGCACAGCAGGAGGTATTTTGTTCAGGGAATACAAGCTATTGTCCTACCCTTGTCCAGAAGGCTACATACATCAAGCAGAAGATGTCTTCCTTACATTCCAGCTAAATCAATGTTATTTCTTCCAGAACACTGCTGCTTCCGTTTCTAGAGATAAAAAAACATAGCTCACTGTCAGGAGATAATTCCTTCTCTTGGGCTTTCTGTCCTTGACCAGTAGAAGTTTTTATTTTTCTTAGACAAGGAAGCTTTTCTTTATCCCTGGAAGATTAAATTGTCTTGCTGGTAGATCTGCCTTACTGAAGAAATGGAGGAGGAAAAGCAGATAGGGAAGAAATAGAAAAGGAAATAATTTCAAGGTATCTTTATAGTCTCCTATTGTTAGGATGTCAATTACTACCATATATCACCTACACAGCAAACTTGTCATAGCTTGGGGTATCTTTTTTTTTTTCTCTCCACCTAGAAGAAAATGTATCAGTTATCCATATGAAATCTTTTTTATTGTGGGATTCATCTTTAAAGTATAGCTGTGATGCTCAGAGGGATTTACTTTTTTAACTTCCTATTCAAAAGGATGAATGTTTAAAGATCATAGTTTTTTAAACTCCAGTTGTGCACTTCATGGGAATAATTGAAGAAAACTGACCTTTTCAGCTTTTTGAGTTGGCACAACTCTTGTTTCAGGTGCTGATGCCTCACACTACAGAGAGTGGTCAAGAATGGCAAATCCAGCAGTGCATCTGTAACTGGGGGCTCTGATTTAATTGTAACACTCCTTTTGATGAGTGCAGAGTGCTTTGGTTACTGTAAACATGGATTCTCCAAAACAGTGTTTAGAAGCTTCAGGACCTGAGAAAACTCCAGAGTGGCTCTGTGAGGGGCTGAAAGGGGGGCACACGGCTGGTGCAGGTTTTGGGGCTGTGTCAGGGGCTCTCTTTGCTGACAGACACTGCTGGGTGGGCAGCTCCTCGCAGTGGGCTTTGCCTCCACAGCAATCAGACATCCAGAGCAGCAGCAAAGAAGGCAGCCACTTACTCACCAAATGCATCGACTTGTGGACCTTAGAATCAGATCTTCCCTTCTATTGCCGCTGTGGGATCGAGAACTGGCTTGTGTTCCTTGGAGCCCTGATACTCATCCCACCCTTGGAAGGAGGGGCAGGTCCATCACCACCCCCGGCAGTGCTTGTGTGACCCTCTGGGAGCAGCTCCTGTCCTGAATGCTTAACTTTGGAGCTTCAGCATTGACTGTGGCCAGGAAAGGTTTGTCAGGAGGGCTCCCAGCTCTCCCTGGGGCAAAGGGAAGATAATGAAGGGAGCTAAAAGGTGAGAGGTGTCTGCTAGTTCAGCTCTCCCTTGGTCAAATTCTCCTTCCTTGATCCACCTAGTTCTTATGTAGACTCAGTCCTCTATTCCTTTCAATTAGAGCTCCATCCTACTTTTCTGTCCCTTCCAGTTTGTGGATTTTAATCCTCTCTCAATTGTATTTATTTTTTGCTTTCATGACTCAGGACTTTTTTTCCTCATTTCCTTCATGCTATGTCATTTCTTGTGGCTGGAACGGTGTCCTCCTTTACTGAAAGGAAACATTGGTCCAGCAGGAGGATTAAAGGAGATTTTAAAATAAATTCCTAGGGAGTCTCAGAAACTGGAAGAAAATGGCAGCAAGTTTCAACTTGAGCGAGCTTTATTTCTGTGTTGTATAATATAATACAATACATAATGTTGTCAATATGTATAAAAGCATAAAGAAAAGGCAGCAGTAGCAGTTAAAAAAAATCAAAAGCCCTGTACAGGATGTAAAATTAGATTTCAAAATACTATAGAAGAGGAGGAAGGGCCAGAATCCCAAGGAGCAAGCTATTTGGAATAAACAGCTTTGAAAAGGTGTGAAATAAAGCCAAAAGAGGGAGGAAGCTCCCCTAAACCAGCAAAAGAGAAGCCCATCTAGGGCAGTTTAAGTGAATAGGTTAGGAGCTGAAGAGGAATGGAAGGTTAATCAGTTTTTGTTTACGTTGTACACAGAAAGAAAAAATAACCACAAACTTTCCTCTGGGTAAAGGAGACCAGAGAAGCACTGACAATACAATTTGATTATATTGCTCAGACAGTGTTTAAAAATACACAATCTCTCAGCTTTTTCCTCAAACTTCCTTTCTGTCTTTAAATAACCAAAAAACCACAAACCACCACAAAATATAAATTGCAAAAATGAGCCATAAAAATGACAGATTCTTCTTTAAACCTACTCTTAGAGGTTAGATCACAAATTCTCTTCTGCTGTAATGAACATGATTAAAACCATAATATTTCCTTCTATGCCACCTTGAAAAGTAAACAATTCAATGGAGAATTATAATTATAAAATGTTCCATGCTCTACTCTCATTTAACACTGCATTTCATACCAGCTACAGCTGCTGTTACCAGAAAAAGATTTGTATAACCTCTGTCAAATTTCCTATAAACTTTTTCTGCCACCAGTGTGGACCTACAGCTTGTAGCATGATCGCAGTGCTTTGAAGACTTATGGCCTTTGCTTGAAAGAAAAGCAGAACTGAATGAGATTTGATAGGAGTACATCAATAAAATAATAATAAATTGCATCAAAAGACCCACCACATTTAGTTTATTTGTCATGAGTATGATTCTCATCATCTTATCCTAAAGATTATTTTCAGGTTATAGGAATCTGCCTAACTTCCAACTAACTTCATTTATTTATTGAGACAAACAATGGTCTGCATCTGGTCTCGTGTGTAGCAGTCTTTGCTTCACTGCATATTGCAACTGTTACCTAAAATATTCTGCCTTGGGCCCCTGCTGCTTTAGGCTCTGGTATGTTGGAAACAAGGAATGCTGCTTCCAGTTACACAGCTAAACAAGTAAGGAAATGGGAAATCTTTCTGTTTTCTGTGAGAGAAGGGTTGCTGTTTCCCAGTTAGCTAAATTGTTTTAAATCTAGGACAGATTTGATTTGGGAAGTGGTGATGAAATCAGACAAAACAATGATTTTTAATTTATGATGTGTCAGGTTTTTCCTACGTCAGGGTTGTTACTTCTGCTTGGGCCCACTTTTCTCTTTTGCTGGTAGGATGTTAGATGTGTAAGGCTGGTGCACAATACTAATATTGGGGTATTCAAGACTTCTTTCCTTATCAAATAAGCAAATTCTAGGTTTGCCTTTTCAAACCTCAGATGTTTAATTTTGCTGTTGTGTTTCCACAATGTCATCTTAGTAAGCTGATTGGTTTGGTTTGATTTAATTCTAAATGTTGTTCTGCAGAAACAGAGAAATGGAAGATATCTATCCCAGGCTAGAGGAATAAAGACCAAGCTGTGTGACCATTCCCTGGTAGGCCCTGGGTGTGTCAGATCTGTGAGTTCAACTCCAGAGACCCCTGATGGGATGCTCAGCTCTTACATGATACCACTTGCTAATGGGAACTGCCCTTGCAGAATTCTGTTAGCATAATAAAGTACGTATTGGATAAGAACAAAACCAGCTTGGCTTTATTATGTGACTTGCATGCCTGGTAATGAATAGAAGGAAGGCACACACCTTCATGAACAGAGAAATTTAATATAGTCTCTTCCTGGAGTTGTACCTGTGGGACTGAAAGTTTATTTCAGCATTCCAAGGGCAATAAAAATCTAAATTTAAACTCAAAATGTGCTCAAAAGATTACCCAGAGGCTGTGAACTGTTCAAACTTTGTTTAGGTCATAACTG